TTTTAAATTCTAAGATTTGAAAATTTAATACAAGGCTCCTAACATATTTTTACAATAGCAGTTGCAAAATAAAAGGAATACATAGTCACAATTTTTTTTTTAAGCATTCAAAGTTTGAGTTTTGACAACATATTATGTAAAAATCACGAAAATTCAGAAATTATTTTAAGCTTGAAATTCATAAAAAAATTTCCTTTTATATCTAAGATTTGAAAATTTTTAATAATCTATAATATATCCTAGACAGATAAATCGTCTTCGCTCAGAATCGTTTTTCGTATACAATGATACCTATCATTGCATTCAAATTTAATCCCATCCATTACAGTAACCTACTGTACAGCAGAGCTACATCCACGACTTACCCGCTTTTTAATATTAACTATTAAAGATATAATAACACTACACAAGATTGGTTTTGCTGATTTCAAATTTACTATGTTGGACGTTGGTTAGAAAGTATAACAAATAGCCTGCTGGCTTCACCGCCAAATAGTCTTACTCGGGCCCTTGGTGATGTCCCTATACTGATTAAGTCACCATACATTGCACATCTATACATGAGCTATGGAAGCTGGAATGGGATTCTCTACTATAGAGTCTTATGCTTTAGGTTATAGGTCATTATTTAAAAACATCCCTATTCAACCATGGTTTCAATCTCTAAAGATGAGCCCCGTTGCCATAATTAAATTCACCAGATTTCGCACGGGCCACAGCCTACTCCACACCACTCGTTTAAATTGGGACTCAGCAGTAGCACGTATTGTCTCCTACCCAACTGTGGTGGAGAATACTGTGACTTCCAACACCTACTTACAAACTGTCCATCTCTCTCCATCCAAAGACCTCAGCTAGAGAATCTCTTTTCCAACTCTGGTATTAATATTTCCCACATTTTTGCTCTTTCAACCGATAATGTTAAAATAATAAAACATAGGTACGCTACATTTTATTCCGTAATCAGGACTCCGAAATTAAGAGTGTGAGCTTTACCAACTATATTATTTCAGATAAATGTATATAATTGTCGAGATATCATAATGTAACGTTAAAATCTCATTGATAAAAAAAAAAAAAAAAATAGCCTGAATTTAATTTGTTGTTGTTTTTGTACAATCTAAAAATAGACCTTAAGAATTTCAAGCATCCATGATTGAAATTTTTTACAAATTAAATAAAACCTTTATCCTTTGTTGGAATA